GGTTGTCTTTCCAAAAAGCACATGTTGTTTATCACAGTGCTTTTCCAGTTCTTTCGCTTGCATTACATATGTCATCTGAAAGCAGACCATTCCATCAAATCCTTGGGCTGCTTGCCCCAAATCATTTTTCCAGTGAAACATGTTTTCACTTAGTTCTGGATCCCAGGTCTAGAGAGGGGGTCATGCTTTCTGGCTTTCTCCCACCACTGTTTTTTCACTCATATCTGCCTCACCATACATTTACAAACAATCGCCAAAGCTTCTGCACTGCTTTTGCATCGATCAGTGGTATAACTCTGATTTAGCAGACTGGTACAAAATTTGCCCAAACGTTTTGCTTTCAGGTAGAGATGTAGATGGGAACTTCAATACTATTTTCATATTTTTACATATATTATAAGAGTTTGCAGCTGTTTAGCTTAGTAAAGTAGTCGACTTGCCATTTTATGAACCGATTGTTTCCTCTGGACAAAGTCAGACTAGCTGTTTCCTCCCATTTCCACTCTTTCTGCTATACTAGGCTAATGGCTGCCGGCTAAAGTCTCATATTTACAGACAGATATGAGTTTCATCTAACTCTTCACCATAAAAAAGAATACTTGCATTTCCCAAAATGCTGATCTGTTCATTCAGTGTACAGTTGTACTCTAATACACAGCATTGCGTTGATCCAGGAATTGCTTTTAAATTGTGAAATTATAGACCATTACATTTCCAAAAACATTTTACTTAAAGAGAGCACCATTTACTAAAAAAAAACAGTTCTCTAAATGCCTCTCTGAGTCGCACTTCAGAGAGACAAAAAAGCAGTGAAAACACCTTAGATAAATATCTTGACTGGGGAAACATCCTAACAATAACATTATATAATGCATTGTACATATTCCCAGTTTTAAGTTCTTCCCTTTAAGAATGGACTCACAGTATGATATGATGAAATAAAACTGGTTATTTCACTCAGAGAGAGTACTACTGTAGACAGTATAGAATGTGTCTGACAACAGTTCAAGTAATAAGATGCAATCCAGTTTTCAACTAAAGGGACACATCCATTACTCACCAGCCAGCCAGCCAGGCCAATCAACAGAAGGCACAAAGGAAAGAGGAACAACGGTTCAACACCTCTGGCCACAAAGGCAGGGCCAGACACAGAGAGAGGACCTTCACTGAGTAACAGTGAACTGAATGACAGCCCATTTTAAACAATGTAGTCCATGCTCCAAGAATCATGGTCAGTAAGAAGAAAGTCTTGACAGGGAGCTTCCCTTTATCACATAGAGGCATGTTTCTCTGAAGCAGAAAATGTGTGTCAGAATATACAGAAGGACACGTCAAGTTCACACATTATATAGTCTTCTACTATCATAGGTTTTTATGTAGGTTGACTAAAAATGAAATTTATTTCACTGTCTTCAAAGCAACTTACTGTGAAAAGTATTTTTGACAAAGATCTTGGGGAGTATTGTGTAGCGACTGACATAAAAACCCTCTGCACAGTGTTCAAATAAAGAGGACATACCTTATTGTTCACAGCAGAGTTTCATGTCTGGGTAGAGAAGCTTTCTCTGTGGATGTCCAGGACACTGCAGCACATATAGACAAACACATTAGATTTCATCTTTCTTGTTACATTAGTTACTTTATCTACTGCACAAACGAGCACCCACAGCTTAACTTAATCTGACATGAAGGACCTCCATGGCACACAGCGGGGTGGTAGAAATAATCACTGGTGTTATGCATAAACACTTTGCTACTGCCAGATTATTGGCAGACAAAGGAATGTCTGTATCTCGTAATGGTTCCTGTCTCGCTGTATTAGCCTCGAGTCTGGCTGGTGAAGACTTAGGGATAATAAATCAGTGTTTGACATGACTCAGACTCTTCTACTCCTGAAAACACTTTCAGCTAACCAACCAGTCTCTTTTTTCATTCCAATTTTGTCAGCCTCCTGTATCTCAAACTCACTTCCCCCTTTTCCTCACATCCTGGTGTGTTTGGCCACAGTGTTTAGCCTAAAAGAGGAAAAACAAGAGAGACACTCACGCTTGATGCTCCCGTACAAAATCTGCAAATTGCCGATCTTTAGCATAGAGCTCAATTATACGTATCCTGTCTTGAATTTCCTGCAGAAACACATGATAATTGCGGTGAGGGAACATTACATCATAGTAGATAAACTGCAAACTGAACAGGCTGTGGCTCAACCAAAGACATGACATTTGACTTTTTTTTTTTACACAGAAAAAGAAAACAGACTTGTTTTGCATAGGGGTGTAAAAGTCAGACATAGAGATTCCATTTCAATCTTTTTCAAGAAAAATTTGGATGTAGAGAGGGAAAGTGATGTGCCTTGGGTCAATAACTGGTATCCAGATGGCCTGAAGCATGACACCTACTGGTACTTCTGGTTATTGTTTTAGTAACCATATGTACAGGGAAACCATACTGTAGCTTCTCCAAAACAAGGCATAAGCTTTCCCAGTGAGGGTCGGAGCCTGTGTGGTAGTAAAGTTACAACTTTTAGTCACTTCTAACTTTCTCTGTGATCACTTATTTTAAATGTCAGCATACCTGATTACACAGCAGAGGTGTTTTCTTTCCAAATGATAAAGGTAATAATGGTGTTTAAAAAAAAAAAGCCTGGGCACACCTCCTTGGTCAGTTCACTGTTCTCGTAGATGTGTCGTATCTCCTCACTGCTGAAGTCAGTGGAGGCCTCAGCACTGGCACTGCTATACACAGGAGCCTCAGGATAGCGGCGGTAGTAGTGACCGTAGCCTGTGGTGGCCTCACTCTCATACATGGGGTTGTACTTGGTCGCCCTCTCCAGAGATGAGAAATTCCCTGCTCGTCTGCAATATAGCACGCAGATAAATTGGTTACAGTGTAGAGCCAGGATGATAAAGTAATATCAGAATTTCAAATTGACTTAGTCTTTATTAACCTTTCTGCACCATGTTATGTTTCTGTTTGATGAGTCCAACTTCAGACTATCACAGAGTCTATTGTGTTAGATGTTTTACACCTTTTTAGAAACAGATCAGCACCATGTCTGCTCAGTTAAATGGCTGAGGTTATACAGTATTTCTCTGCATATTGCTCTAGGAGCTGTGCCAGACACATACACAGACAGAGATGTGGGTGGGGCAGATACAAAGAGAGAAAAAGTGAAGGAGCAAAAGATGACAGGAGGAAAGAAACACACAGGGAGACAGAGAGGCATGGCCATTGCTGTAAGTTAAGATTAAAGAGATGGTGCAGAGGATAATTTTGGCCAAGTGAGGACATAGTCATGGGATATCTTAAGTTCTTCTGTAGCCTCAAGAAAATAACCAGACGCCTTGAAATGAAAGCCAGTTACGTAGAGGAGAGAAAGTCTTCAGACGCACTAAGTGCTTCTGTTCACTGTCAAACAGAAATGAAAGGTTTGTTTATTTTCACGAACAGAACTTTTGCAAGTTGATAAGAAAATCTTAGTGGGTACTTCATCGTATACATTTTATCTTCATCATATACATTTTTAAAATGTTTCTCCTAACTGTATTTTAATTTAGAAATAACATTTTCTTTATTGGATGTCAGTATCACATGCACTGTACATTGTGTTTCTGCTGGTTCCACAGCTTCATCACAGCTGTATTCAAACCCAAGGTAACATATTTTTCGGATGAAAGAAAAAAAATTCCAGGTCTCTTGCATATAATTTTATAGACAATTTATATATGTGAAAATTCAGCCTAACATATTTTGTATCTTTGGAGACATTTAGCATTTCCACTACAATTCAAAATACAGTAGCTTTGTAAATTGATAAAAATGAATGAAGTAGGTTTTGCAGCTTAAGAGGTTAAAGAGGTTCAGAGGTGTCCTTATGCAGTTATTTTGCATAAGGACACATTCACTACTGCCACTTATTTAGATGTAAACATAAAATTAAATGTAAAAATAATAGAAAGACAACAAGGCAACAATATTTTTCCTAATGCACATTCCTTTGCTTGTTGATATGTACGTACACATTGAGAGTCGCTGTACCAGAGTCAAGTTCTTCATGTGTCCAACACACCTAGCCAATAAAGCTGATTCTGAAGTGAATAAACACAGATCAACTCGCCTCACTAGACACTAACATGTGCCTCTGATAATCAGGGATGATGCTGGTATTTAAGAGGTATTCCTCACCGTACGGGGTCTTCTGACGCATCCTTGTCATACTGATCCCGTAATGTCCTGGCCAGGAAGAAGATCACTCCGGAGGCCACCAGTAGAAAGCCAGCTACAGAGGTGATCGCTATGCCCACCACCAGGGGCTCAGACACATACTCCTCACAGTGTTCTCCTCTGTACCACCAGTTCTCCCCAACGCGACACCTGAGAGGACGGCGGAGATTTGTCACAATATCATAAAATCATTTCTGCTTAGAAATAAATTGTCACAGTGGCCAAAAACAGGAGACTGAACAACACAAACAGATGTATATTTCATTTTAAAACTGAGCATCCAGTGAACAGCGGAACAACAAAATATCTCAGAACATACTCATTATCCATCCTTTTGTTTTGTACTCATCCTTTTGTTGAATGATTAGAAAATATAAAAATGGTTTGTTTTTGTCTTGATATGGTTAATGGCATGTCTACAATGACACCATTCTGTGTGTCATTAAATGATTAATGCAATCATGTATCCTGTAGCTGAGAAAAGCAACAATACTAATCAGACTGTAACAATTAAGCCTCAACAAATGGTTCATTTATGTAAAGTACAGGCATTGCCCCTGGGTGTAAATACAAATACGCTGTGAACTGCCAAAATTTGAGTCAAAATGTTGACATTTTAAAAAGTCATTATCTAGGCCAAATATAGCCATCTTTGAAGAAGGCTAATTGTTTTTGCAGCCAACTAACAAGTAAAACAAAACCATTATTGCATTTAGTTGTTTATTATTATAATTCAGGCCAGAACATTTATTTACCTTTTAAATATGTGGAGTCAAATTGTAAAAGGCTTTTTGAACAAGTGCCTGGTTTGCATGGGACATCTCTCAAAACCTGCATCTCAGCAAACTGACTTCAAACTTAAAACTACACGCTGGCCTCCTCCATGAACTGCAGCAAAATCTGTTTAGTGTTATGTGATGAAGCACTGGCCTCAAAAACCTGCCAACCCAGACGCTCTCTCCCGCACACACTCAGATCACTTCCCCTAATCCCCACCTACCTGCAGATGGCTCCCTGGCCGGAGATGATGTCACACTTGCCGTCATTGAGGCAGAAGTCAGTCTGCAGGTTACATATGCTTTGACAGGGTAGGCTGTCCACGCTGAAGTAGCCAGCATTACAGACGCACTCTGCCTCCCCCGTCCACTTGTTCACCTTACACTCGGCGAACTCGTTACACGCCTGGAACTTACAGGGGTCGGCCTGGTCACCTGGACATTAAAGACACTTGAGAGAGAACTCACTGAGGGTATTATTGTATCAAGCAGATTGATTACTGATTTGTTAAATGTTCATTTGGTCATCCACATTTAAAAACAGCGAATGTCAGAATCTCTATTATCTCAAAAGATTTAGAATGGTCTGTTGAAAAAAAAAGGTTATGCAGACAAAGTCTGTTTGTCACTTTGTGAAATATGCTTATTTGCTTTCTTACTGAGAGTTTGATGAGAAGATCAATACCACTCCCATATCTGTATAATGCATATAGAGCTATGACTCATTTATCATGGTGCAAAGAGTGAAACTAGTGGAAACACTAGCTTCTCATTTAACTCTCAGCAAGAAAGCAAATACGTGTATTTCTGAAAAGTTTTTAAACCTTTTCTTAAAATTACAAAAAAAAAAAAAAATCAACACAAACTAAAAGAAACTGGTAATTTTATAGAACTGCATATAACTTAAGTAAAAAGCCACAACAAGGAGACACCAGGACCAGGACTGTGAATCAGTCAGTGTGAGTAACAACATTTGTTATGTGGTCAATGAATTATCTCATAAAAGCAAATGTGACATTCACTTCGTGAGACTGAGAAGTGTCGTGACAGCGAGTCAGTGCCTGCTTTCCCAGACCCTTTCAAACACAAACCTGTTTTCTATAATGACTTAATGTCGTCATTTTACCAAGCAATGACAAGATACTGATTTGTACAAAATGAGAGTGGAATTGATCTTATCACAACAAGAAGATCTTGGCAAAAAAAGTTCATGAGTATTTCCTGAAATGTCCAGCTATTCCTTTAAGAAACTTATAACTTATACTTCAACCAACTGAAACTATTGTTCTGTGGATCCACATTCATAAAGACACTACAGAAATGCAGCACTGTACATCAGCGAGCACCTACCCAACTCAACGTCCAGCGAGTACTTATCGATGGCCAAGTTCATGGTCTGGTAGGCTGTGTTACAGAAGTCTGCCAGGATCAGATAGACAGTGGTAGTGACGCTACGAGGCACAGGCCTCCCGAATTTCACCCGGCTGTTGACCACAATGCTCCCATTCCTAAAGTTTAGGATCTCCAGGTTTTCAAAGTGGCTCAAGTTGGACTGCAGGTAGGGCACAAGCTGGGAAAAGATTTGAAAAAGTACCATTTGATTTTACAAACCAAAGACAGAACAGTGAGAATAATGAGAACCATGAGTAAATGTGCAAAGCCTACCAGCTCTAGAAAGCGCTGTTCCAATGCTTTGTATTCTGGGGAGCTCTTGTTAAAGAGGTCCTCTGAGAAGATCATGTTGGTCACCCTCAGGCTGAAGAACACCATCAGTGCTCGTCCAGGGTTTACAGGCATGGCAATACTGGCCTGGTCTGTGCCGTGTGTCACACCAATTGGTAGTTCAGTGCTACCCTCCTCTGTGCGGTTTATAAAACCATGATCATAATGAACCACACCATAGCCCTGGTCTCCGGTGGTGGCATCATCCAAGCCGTCACTAGTGGTCTGCATCTGAGAGTTTAAAAAACAGATTGTTTCTGAAATTAAACTACAATGATTACTACATGTTACTGGGCTGCTTAAATTATTCAACCTTCAATTTTTGTTAAGAAATCAACATGTGTATCTTTGGTGCTTGTTTTGACTAGAGAGAGTTTTGTCCTCCATTAGTGTTTTCCATGTTGTATAAATCTTTGGCATCACTGTTAGTAAAAAAAAATAATTTGTTTGGTGCAGTATCTACCTGGGCAGACACTAAAAACAGTTTGTCATGTTGTAGCCTTTGCAAAATTAAATTCTAATTGTTTTTTTTTTTTTTGCTTTACCTCCACCAGTGAAGGGATGATCATGTCAGGTTGCCCCTCAGAGGCAGGGCTAACATCAGAGATACGGGTGAAAGGTGGCTCCCTCACTGAAGAAAGGGTGGTTGGTTGGGCAGGGCTCAAAGAATCTGTCACTGGTGTTTCTGGTTCATCCTTTGTCACCAGTAAGAGCTCATCCTCTGTGAAATCATCTGTTGAGATCTTTGGAGTTTCAGGTGCTTCTGGGTCTTTCTTCACCTCTTGTCCCTTGCTCCCTGTGGCTACCTCCACACTGTCCTCTTCAAATACAGATCCCTCGCCAATTTCAGATGGTTCAGGATGGGTAAACACCACGTTTATAGCTTCATCTTTGCTGGGCTGTTCAGGGTTTACCTCCTGATCTGTAGGTGGGACATCTGTGTGGTTTGAATCTTCAGCTGTCCTCTCCACCAAGTCTTCTCAGGCTCTGATGTTTCGCTCACTACATCAATGGCCTCAGGTGGTAAATCTGGGGTAGGTAGGCCTTCTTCTTCTGTTGCAACTGTAGCTGGCCAAAGCAGGTCCCCTATGTCACCTGTGCCTGAGCCAGACACCTCGACCTCCACTGGTGGTTCAGGCAGTGTGAAGTCCTCTGGCAGCTCAGGGGAGGGAAGTTCAGCTGGAAGTTCTTCAGGTGGGGGGTTCTCTAACGCAGGAGTCTGCACAGTATCCTCTAACAAAAGACCTTCCACCTCAATGCCTGGAAAAACAAAGATGAGAAGAAATACAGTGTCCCTGTTGGTCTCTCTTTTCAGAAACTGGCTACCTATCCACATATCTGTCGGGTAAACCATAAAAAGCATTTGATTTAAGTTAAACCAACTGAGACCTGAGAAAAACAAAAAAGAAAGTACCCATGCCTTTCCTAAGAAATCATTTAAATGCAAAGTTAAAGCAGGAGGGAAGTTTTATATAGTGTGTTTGTGCATGCTCACATACAGTATGAAGGCTGCCCTATATTGATGCTCAGGAATTTTAGGTTTGGAAAAATGCCATGTGAGTGTGCAAAGTAAAGCATAGAGGTTGTCACAAAAAGAAAAACAACAAACAAAATGGAAAAGGTAGATAAGAACACATTTGCTTGTGCTTCGGATTAACACTCACTGCCAGCTGCAGGTGCACTGGTGACCAGGGCAGGAGCAGGAGACACAACAGCACTCTCCTCCAGAGTAATGATGTCATTTTCTGTTGTCATCACTGTGCTGGTTTCAGGGGGCTCAGGCAGGATTTCATCTTTGTTGACAACTTTGGTGTTCTCTTCCAGGATCATATTCTCTGGTGGCTCATCAACTACACTGACCTGCATCACAAATAGGCTTCATTATTTGAACTATTTGGCACAATTTCACTGGAGTGTGTCATGCAGCCAGAATCTGTGAGTGGTCGGGAGCTCCTACTCAGCAGGTTGGATTTCACTTCATTTATAAAGGACACACTGCAGACCTACATTTAAATTAAACCAATCACAAAATATAACGTTCCCATTTTAAAGCAAATAACAAAGACCTGTGAGATGGAATATGAGTGATGTCCCTGCTGTAGACCAAACCTTTAGCAGGATGTAAGCCTGTGAGGAAAGCTGCACCAAGTCCCACCTTGAGTAGACCCCAGACCCTAGGTGGGGGCCTGTTCAGTGCATATATAGGTGTATAGGAGGAATATAAGTTCAGCATAGTGTGAGTGTATTAATGAATGCGTGTGTGTGTGTGTGGTATTATACTCACATTGTGAGCACCAAAACCTGTTTACTCACTCACACTGTGGGGACCTGGCCTTCCCCACAAGGAATCATTGTATTTTAGGTTAACAACTTAGTCACAGAAAGGTTCTTATACATAACTGAGATGAAAAACTTGGTGCATCAACAAAAGCAAAATACAATAAAATGGAATAGAAACACAACTGAAGAATAAAAGATGATGTACATGAACCACATGACTTCTGCTGAGGAGACAAAACAAATGTCAGACCGGTGCAGAGCGATGAAGACTTTTTTTTTCCAGATTAAATACATGAAAAATATTATATTTCCATTATGTTTTCTACTTTGTTTTTCACTGTCATTGTTTGAAATTTAACTGGCACTCTTTTAATTGTGTTATCTAGTCGTGTTCTTCTACAACAGTTGCTAGAAACATATTAACCTTTTTGTTGCAGATTTTCTACAAATTCAGTTACAACTTGTGTAACATTTGAAGGAAAACAAAGCTATAGTTAACAAAAAGAGAAAGGCAGTAGTATTGAAAATATAAAATCATCCTATAACACATTTTAAAATGCACTGCATACACTGTAATAGACTATAGGTGTTACTTGGGTGGTATACTGCAGGCTCTGTACTGCTAATCTCATCTCAAAGAAAGTTTGAAAACTCAGTAGCTGAATCTACAGTATTCCAAGAATAAACCAGGGCAGGAAAGTGCTGTGGTGGCACTGTAAATCACTTACTGATGAGAAGTAGGCCAAACGCTCCCAATTCATGAGTCAAATTAATCACTTAGTGAGCTGAGTGATTAAGTGAACCAGCAGACACATTTAGTGTAACCCAAACTCTGATTATCATCAAAGAGCACAGTCGACCACAAGACAGCGCAAATAAAGACTTCGTCTGAATACATTCATATGTGCGGTCTCTCTTGACTTGCTGTGGTGTGGTGCACTGTAAACTAATCCCTAACAGCATCACTTCATCACAGCTGGTGAGCTCATCCCCTACCTGCTCTAGTCTGGTCTGGATAAGATCACAAGCCACTTACAGGTTATCACAACATCAATTATACTACACCTGTCATCCACTGTGCCTTAAACAAAAGTGATTAATCACCTTTGTGGAGCTCAATGCAGCCGGAGAGGCTGAAGAGAGATTGTTGTGGAGGGACCTTGTTACTCACCTTGGCTCTGTCTGCACCATCAACAGACTGTGGGATCTCAGACACTGTGGAACCAGAGGAAAAACAAATATTAATACACACTGACACACAAGGCAAATGTGCCAACTAGCTTAAATAATCCTGGCTGCCAGAGTCTACAAAATTCTTTTAAGCAGAACTGTTTCAGCCCTGACAGCCTTCATTTTGACAGCATCACTTTCAGGGGTAAATATCTACAAATCAGCACTAAAAGCTGGAGTGAATATCATCCAACATGGGCCAAGGCCATTACTGCAAAGTGAAAAACAAAACCAAACCATTTAAGTTCCCTCAGCCACACGTGTCAGCCATATGTTTTAAGCCATCATTTCACATGTCACAGCCTATATGTGGCATGTGAATCAGATGGCATTCGTCTCCAGGGGAGCTTTTTACACAAGACACTCATGATGTGAATTCTCTCAAAAAATGACCACAGTAGAAACCAGAAGGTTAGAGGTTGCCCTGATGGCTAGAGCCATCGGTGTGAGTTGGCACTGCAGATGGCTACCTCGGTTCTGTACCGGAAACAAATTCCTTGTGTGTGTAACACACTTGGCCAAATAAAGTGATTAGCGATTATCATTATCATAAAACCAATGCGTGACATCACAGCGTGTTTGTCTAATGTTTATATACAGCTAGTGATCAAAATCCATTTACAAGTCATAGGAAGTACTGCTGCATATATTAATAAAATGTTATAAAACCTTTTGTCTCCAGGGGGAGCTGCACAAAGCATACTAGGCTTTATTAAATGCCTCAAGTGATGTCACTTGAGTCAGTGTTAACTGAGGCTGAAAACTACGAGTCTGCAAAACACTGCCATGACAGTTCAGTAAATAACTATAATAGAAGCATGTGTGTGTTTTGTTCAGCAGTCAGTTACCACTCTCCAGCTCTTCAGTGACAACGTTTTTGACCTCGCTGGTGCTGTACACCACTGAGGGGCGCTCTTCAACCTCACGGTATGAGTTCTCCACCCTGTTAGACTGCAAGGTCAGGTAATCCAGTTGTTCAGTGCTCACCCCTGCTCCATCCACAAGCAGGGTGACAGCATAGTCCACTACCACACCACCCTGCCTGGAGATGCAAATAGGATGTAATTACATCAGACCCACATACTGAACAGTCTCAGAGCCAGGAAATAATTGTATTATTATATGTTGACTTTTCTTTAAATTGTACTGAAAATAGAATAGAAAATTGTGTTATTATTTTATACATTACTACTTTAGTCTACTTTAGTGTTTTCAAGCAAACTGAAAGTGTAGCCCTGAAGTTTGTATATCTGGCTTAGAATCACAATTATGCATAGCGTGGTTATAGAAAAATAATAACTGGAAGTGGGATTTCTAGCCATTCATTAGAAAAGATTTCATAAAACATATGTACTTTTTCTACAAGTTTCTCTAGCGCAATGATACTGTATATATGTTTAATTTAAACAGGGTACCTGGCATTGATTAGGAACAGGACAAAACTTCCTTTTTCTGTCTCACTTTTCTTTGTTGTATCTTATGTTCTTTTTTAATTATTATTGTTAGTATTTTCATTCTCATTTCCTTTTTTAAATTCAAGTCCAAGTAATGACTTCTTTGGCAGGTTGCAACAATATATTTCTTATTGTTGTACTTGAGCCTTGACTACTCTACTTTTACAATGGTCATATACAATAGGTTTTAAAAATGTAACTGTAACATCAAATCTCTTTTATAGGCTTTTATATGTAATTTACATACATTTGCCACAGTGAAATACATACTGATGTAAAAAAAATCTCATTAGTGTAGTACCAAAATTGTACACTCATACATGCATATATATATACACACACACACACACATGTAGAGTATGTATTAATTACAATGCTGAATATATTACATGGCCTTTCAGTGAGATTGTTTTGTCTACTAAAACTACTGTTTCCCATGCTTTCCACATTCAATCTCAAATTCTATTCACATTGCTATATCTCCTATCTATCTCAAATGCTCCCTCTTCAGAAGCTCTTGTCTGTGTTTTCTGCCTGTAGCCACTGTGTCTCTCAGGACAATAAAGGAGTTAATCAAGGAAGCCTTGATAAATTGTTTAGTGCTCTGTGACAGTAACCCAAACATGTGAGGAAGGTTTTCAGGCAGTACCCTAGTACACAGTTGTTGTACCTGAAAACCACTTTAACATTAGTTTGTATGTACTTTTACAATAATAAAGTTGGGGAAAAAAATCTCCTGGATGAATACTGCTCTGGCATTCAGCGTCAAACTTATTAAAAGAGTTGTAGAGTGCTCACAGACAAATGATGACTCGAATGATTTACTACTTCTTGGAATGCGGGAGCTCAACTTTATAGGACAAAAACTGTAGATTCAGCAGAATGATCAATATCATCATAATAAACACAAAAACCTCACAAGAAATTCCAGCCCTTGGAAAAACTCATCTATCATACTTCATATGACTACTGGGAGCCCTCCACTCTGACCTAGTTTGTGGTGTTGCTGGCAGACAGCTGAGCACGTGCCGGACCACAGCAGCCCCATTTAGAAGCATAACCAGTTCCCCCCACACCCCCCTTTGGTTTTACACATACACAGAGGCAGACAGACAGAACTCTCCTCCCTCTGTGCCCTGTGATCTATGCTTAGCAGCAGCATGCAGGAGCAGTCACAGATTATGATTTACCATTCAAGTTTTATATTAGTGTATGAAATACTATAAATTGTTAAGATGAAATTTCCTATTAATATATAAAATTGTTAAAGTAAGAGCTGAACATTTTTGCAAATATGCTAGGTTGGGGTGGCTTGGTGATGCAGTGGTTAGTGCTGTCGCCTCACAGCAAGAAGGTTCTGAGTTTGAGCCCTGGCCGACCAGATGTCTTTCTGTGTGGAGTTTGCATGTTCTCCCTGTGCCTGCATGGGTTCTCTCCGGGTACTCCGGCTTCCTC